AGCCAACAGCAGAATGTACATTACTTTTATTTGCACATGGCACATACTTTAAAATTGGTCACTCAACCATAAAGTGGATCTGAAGAAAATTTAAAAAAAATCATACCACCAACACTCTCAGACCATAGCACAGTAAAAATAGAAATCAAAACCAAGAAGATTTCTCAAAACCATGCAATTACACAGAAGTTAAACAATCTGCTCCTGAATGACTTTTGGATAAACAATGAAATTAAGGCAGAAAACAAGAAATTCTTTGAAACTAATGAAAACAAAAATAAAGCATAGCAGAATCTCTGGGACACAGCTAATGCAGTGTTAAGAGAAAATTTTAAAATTTTATACTTTTGAACACCCACATAAAAAACTTTGAAAGATCTCAAATTATTAAACTAACATTACACCTAGAGGACCTAGAAAAACAAAAACAAGCCAACCCTATAGCTAGCAGAAGAAAATAAATAACCAAATAAGGCCTGAACTAAATGAAATGGAGATGAGAAAAGTCATACAAAAGATCAGCAAAACCAAAAGTTGGTTCTTTGAAGAAAATGAATAAGATAGATATGGTGCTAGCTAAGCTAATTTAGAAAAAAAGAGACAATATCCAAATAAACAAAATCAGAAATGACAAGGAGAGCATCACCACTAAGCCCACAGAAATACAAAATCCTCAAAGACTATTACAAATACCACTACACACACAACTTAGATAATGTGGAATAAATGGATAATTTTCTAGAAATATACAAGCCCCCAAGATTGAAAAAGAAAAAATTGAATCCCTGATAGATCAATAATGAGTTCCCAAACTGAATTGGTAATAAAAACCTACCAACCAGGAAAAGCCCTGATCCCATATGAATTCATAGCCAAACCTACCAGACATACAAAAAAGAGCTGGTACCATTCCTGCTGAAACAATTTCAAAAAATTGAGGAGGAGGGACACCTCCCTATCTCATTCTGAGACCAGCATCATTTTGATACCAAAATCTGGCAGAGATACAACAATAAATGAAAATTTCAGGCCAATATTCTTGATGAACATCAATGCAAAAATCCTCAAGAAAATACTGGCAATCAAAATCCAGCATCACATCAAAAAGCTTATTCACAATGATCAAGTAGGCTTCACCCCTGGGATGCAAGGTTTGTTCATTATACACAAATCAGTAAATGTGATCTATCACGTAAACAGGACTAAAGACAAAAACTACATGATCATCTCAATAGATGCACGTAAAGCTTTTGATAAAATTCAGCATCCTTTCATGTTATTAATCCACAACAAACTAGACATTCAAAGTATATACTTCAAAATAATAAGAGCCATCTATGACAAATAGCAAGCATCATATTGAATAGTCTAAAGCTGGAAGCATTCCCCTTGAGAACCAAAAGTAAACAAGGAAACCCACTCTCACAACTCCTATTCAACATTGTATTGGAGGTCTTAGCTAGAGCAATCAGGCAAGAAAAAATAAATAAAAGGCATCCAAATAGAAAGAGAGGAAGTATCTCTCTTCACAGAAAATGTGAATTGTAGATCTAATAAACAACTTTAGCAAAGTTTCAGGATATAAAATAAATGCACAAAATTTAGAAGCATTTCTATACACTAATAAAATCCCAAGATAGGAACCAAATCAGGAATGCAATCTTATTCACAATAGCTGCAAAATTATCAAAATAACTAGGAATATAGCTAACTGGGGACGTAAAAGATCACTACAATGACAATCACAAAACACTTCTGGAAGATAAGAGAAATGGCACAAATAAATGGGAAAATATTTCATTCTCACAAATAGGAAGAATAAATATTGTGATACTGTTAAAAGGGCCATACTGTCCAAAGCAATTTACAGATTCAATGCTGTTTCTATCAAACTACCAACAAAAATTTACACAAAACTAGAAAAAAAAATCTAAAATTCACTTGAAATCAACAAGATCCTGAATAGCCAAAGCAATCCTAAGGAAAAAAAAAGCTAGAGGTATGGAGGTATCATGTTCCGTGGTTTCAAACTATACTATGAGGCTACTATAACTAAAATAACTTGATACTGGTACAAAACAAAAACAGGCACATAAACCAATGAAATAGGTTAGAGAACCCAGAAATATGGCTGTACAACTACAGCCATTTAATCTTAAAGAAAACCAACAGTGATGAATAATAAAGAAGAGACTTCCTAGTCAATAAATGGTGCTAGGATAACTGAATAACCACATGCAGAAGATTAAAACTGGATCCCTACCATTTACCATATACAAAAATCAGATCAAGATGTATTAAAGACATAAATATTATCCCAAAATGATAAAAACCCTGGAAGACAACCCAGGTAATACCATTTTGGACATAGGAATGGGTATAGATTTCATGACAAAGACACCAAAAGCAATTACAACAAAAACAAAAATTGAGAAGTGAGACTTAATTAAACAAGAGCTTCTGCACAACAGAAGAAACTATCAACAGAACAAACAGATAACCTATAGGATGGGAGAAAATATTTGCAAACTATACATCTGAGAAAGGTCTAATATCCAGAATCTATAAGAAACTTAAACAAATTGAGCAAAAATCAAACAACCCCATTAATGCTTAGCTCTCACCTACAAGTGAGAACATGTGGTGTTAGGTTCTATTCCTGTGTTAATTCACTTAGTATAATAGCCTCCATCCATGTTGCTGCAAAGGAGATGATTTCATTCATTCTTATGGCTGCATAGTATTCCATGTAATTTCCTGACATTTTAATGATCACCATTCTAACTGGTGTCAGATGGTATCTCATTGTGGTCTTGATTTGCATTTCTCCAATGACCAGTGATGATGAGCTTTTTTTCATATGTTTGTTGGCCACATAAATGTTATCCTTCACCTACTTTTTGATGAGGTTGTTTGCTTTTTCTTATAAATTTAAGTTCTTTGTAGATTCTGGATATTAGCCCTTTGTCAGATGGATAGGTTGCAAAAATTTTCTCCCATTCTGTAGGTTGCCTATTCACTGTAATGACAGTTTCTTTTGCTATTTGGAAGCTCTTTAGTTTAATTAGATCCCATTTGTCAATTTTGGCTTTTGTTGCCATTGCTTTTGGTGTTTTGGCACTATGCTGATGACCTGTGTGACAAAATTATCTGTGCAATAAACCCCATGACACACAATTTACCCATGTAAGAAACCTACACATGTACCCCCTTGAACCTGAAAAAAATGTTGAAAGAAAAAAAAGTGTTATACTTCTATCAGGGTCAAAACTATTTATATTAGGATTAGAAGTTACTATTGAGTTTGACGGGATGTATTAATAATCCAAATTTATACAAGGTTTACTATTACATTGAGAACAAAATGCCAGTTATGGTGGTTTGAGAATCAATTGAATGAAGACAAAATAGCAAGAGAATATAAAAGGTTTTCATAAATTTCATGGTAAAAGACATAAGAAATATAGGATGATACCATAAAATTGACAAATAACCTGAAAAATAAAATTTCCTAAGGCAAGTTAATCCACTGCAGCGTAATTAGGTAAGAATAGCTTGCTCATGTGGTTCAAGCCAAACTTCTAATTCTAATACTGTCACAACATTTTGGCATTATCAATATTCCTTAATCAACCAATTTTCTTGTTCTGAACATGCCCCTTTTAAGTGAGCAGCTATATAATTTTAATACTTTTTTTTCTCTCTCTCTTTCTCTCTCTCTCTCTGTTGATTTTTTCAGTGTCCCTGTAGTGAGTCATGTTCACTAAAAATAAATTTTACTAAGGCATTATGCTACTTATGATAATGATTCTGACAAATGTTGGAAGCGAAAGAAAATAACAATACCTTTACCACTGAATATTCCACATTACCTCCCTACTGCTTCACAAAATAATATTGAAGAATTATCATTCCTCTTACTTTTTATGTTGATCTTGTCCAGTATGCCATTTCTTTATTTTCTCCTATTCAAATTTTACACATCCTTCAACGTTGAACTAAAGCCTCATCTCTTCCATATAGTTTGCTGTGACTATCTCAGCCAACTTTCTGCCTTTTTTGACCTTATATAGTTCTTAAGCATACTACTGAGCACATGGCTCATAATTATATCCTATTGTCTGTTTTCTTCACCTTGAGTTATATGCCCATGTCTCTTCTCACCAACTTGATTGCATCAACTCCTCTATGGCAGTGAGCTAATCGTGCATCTTTAGTTCTGAGCTTCAACTCCCACTACAAACCTTCTTTCAGTTACTACAACTATACAGAGCACAGGTTAAGGCACCAACAACTTATTAATCATTGAATACTTTTAACATCTTGAAGAAAAGAGAAGAGCAAGTAGAGACACAGAATGTACCTAAACAGACACTTTTCTTTATCAGTGCTTTTAAATGCTGCTACATAATAACTTTAGAGAAGAAAGACAATAGTGTATATATGTGCATAAGCTGAGATTTCCAAGAGAATATAATTTTAGGAGTTACCTTATCAATTTTATCAGCAAGAAACATATCATATTTCTGGTTTGAAATGTACAACTGAGAGGTCTTAGTCTTCTTAAATAAATTTGATATTTTTCCCTACAAAGAGAGATTTATGAAGCTTTTCTGAACCTCTTGAAAAGAATGAATTTCAAAGGTTTGTATCTTAATGCCTGATTTTACCTGCTATACAACCGGGCTATCGTTTAAGCACGACCTAATCTAATCTAAAACAAAAATGATCAATATTCAAAAAGGTTAATTTGAATAATTTCATATGGCCCTGAATATAATAGATCATTTTGATACATTACTTTAGTTTTTTTTTTAACTTCACGTTTGAAACTGTAAAATTTAAATTACAAGTGCACAGAACTATGCAAAACATTTGACACAGCTAGAAAACTTGTCTAGGTTCAAAATTTAAACAAAACGTAGGGATACATGATGCTGAGTTGGCATTTTGAATAAATGTGGGGAATTCCTTAGTAATAATCTCTCACAACTTTGAACCGGGCAAAATTTGTTTTATTATCTTCCTCTCTTTTGGTGAATCTCACACATATATTTTTGGCTTTTTGACACTTCTTCCCTTATTAAAAATATCACCATATATGGATGTTGTATAATCTCTTGATTCTTCTGGCTTTCCATGTGAAGTAATACAATGTTACAGATCTTTCCTGTGTTCTTCTGTATTAGAATTTATCTGTGTCTCACACCATCAGGGCCTTTCTCTCTGAAAATTAGAAATAGAATGTTAACTAAATACATTAATTATTCTGTGCAATATCATATTTTAACCTAATCAAGGTACATATCATGAAGGATTTCCTTAAGAAATTAATCTAATAGACTTGCAGCCCCTAGCAGAGGCTTTGGTTGGTGGGGAAGTGGTGTGTTTTTTGGTAGAAGCAGTATGGGTATGTGGTATTCTTCAAACCTGTGGCTGATATAGTAAGGGGTTGTCAAAAAGCTTCCTTTGACGACTATACTAATGATGAACCAGACTGGTAGCACTTCTAAGTTAAGAATTCCCTAAGTTAGACAAAATTTAAGGAATAGCATGAAGGTAAAAAGTAAAGCTTAACAAAAGGCTAATTTTCAAGACTCAACTACCCTCTATTGTTATGGTTCTCAAAATTAGGTATATATGCATCATATCATTCGGACAGCTTGTTATAAAGAGCAGTTTCAGTCCACTCCTCTCTGAGATTCTGATTGGACATGCCTGGTGTCTAGACAAAGAATCTATATTATATGTTCTAATGACAAAGATGGTTACAGTATAGGTGGTCTGAGAAATGTACTCATACAAACTCTGCTGTATAATAAGTGTTCCCCATCAATAGATCCAAACAAAGATGAAATATCTGAAATGCCAGATAAAGAATTCAGAAGGTTGATAATTAAGCTACCAAGGAGCTACCAGAGAAAGGTAAAAACACCTTAAAGAAATTTAAAATAAATTACAACCTAAGGATAATTGATGTTTCTGAGGTAGAAAAGTCTAAAAGTTTACAAAATTTATATGAGAAAATAATTGAAGAAAATTTCCTGGCCTTGCTAGAGATCTAGATGTCCAAATAAAAGAAGCTCAAAGAACTTCTGGGAAAATCATTGCAAAAGAATCATCACCAAGGCACATAGTCATCATGCTATCTAAAGTCAACATGAAGGAAATAATTTTAAGAGCTGTGAGACAAAAGCATTAGATAACCTAAAAAGGAAAACATATCAGACTAACAGCAGACTTCTCAGTAGAAACCTTACAAGCCAGATGGGATTGAGGTCATATCTTTAGTTTCCTTAAACAACATAATTGTCAGCTGAGAATTTGGTATCCAGTAAAACTAAGCTTCATAAATGAGGTAGAGGTAGTCTTTTTCAGACAAACAAATGGTAAAGAAATTTGTCACTACCAAATAAGCTCTACAAGAAATTCTAAAACGAGTTCTAAATGTTGAGACAAAAGCATGATATGATACAAAATACAATCTCCTTAAAGCATAAATCTCACAGGACCTATAAAACAATATCACAGTTAAAAAAATGTAACTAGGAAACAACTAACGTGATGAATAGAATGCTGCCTCATATCTCAATATTAATACTGAATGTAAATGGCCTAAATGCTCCACTTATAGGATAAGGTACAGCATGGCAGAATGGATAAAAATCTACCAAGTATCTGCTGTCTTCAAGAGACTCACCTAACACATAAGGACTCATATAAACTTCAAGTAAAGGGGTGAAAAAATATATGCCCCACAAAAGGAAACCCAAAGTGAGCAAAAGTAGCTATTCTTATATCAGAAAAAAAACGGACTTTCAGTCGGGCGCGGTGGCTCATGCCTGTAATCCCAGCACTTTGGGAGGCCAAGGTGGGCGGATAATGAGGTCAGGAGATCAAGACCATCCTGGCTAACACAGTGAAACCCCGTCTCTACTAAACATACAAAAAATTACCCGGGCGTGGTGGCGGGCACCTGTAGTCCCAGCTGCTCAGGAGGCTGTGTCAGGAGAATGGCGTGAACCCAGGAGGCAGAGCTGAGAGTGAGCAGAGATCGCGCCACTGCACTCCAGCCTGGGTGACAGAGCGAGACTCTGTCTCAAAAAACAAACAAACAAACAAACAAACAAACAAACAAAAAACAAAAACAAAAAAACCACTTTCAAGCAAAAACAGTAAAAAAAAAAAATCAAGAACATTATATAAAGATAAAATAATTTGTACAGCAGACAGATATTATAATCCTAAATTTATATGTAAATAGCACTGGAGCCCCAAATTTATAAAACAATTTCTACTAGAGCTAAGAAATGAGATAGATAGCAGAACAATAATAGTGGGGGACTTTAATACTCCACTTACAATACTAGACAGATCTTCAGGAAAAAAAAAAAAAGTCAACCAAGAAACAATGGACTTAAACTATACCCTAAAACAAATGAACTTAACAGGTCTTTACAGAACAATCTCCCACCATCTGTAGAATATGCATTCCTCTCATCAGCACATGGAACATTCTCCAAGATAGATCATATGATAGGCCACAAAACAAGTCTCAAAAATTTTAAGAAAATCAAAAACATTATTTTCCTTTTTAAAATTACACTTTAAGTTCTGGGATACATGTTCAGAATGTTCAGGTTTGTTACATACATATACACGTGCCATGGTGGTTTGCTGCACCCATCAACCTGTCATCTACGTTAGATATTTCTCCTAATGCTATCCCTCTCCTAGTCCCCCACCCCCTGACAGGCCCCAGTGTGTGATGTTCCCCTCCCTGTGTCCATGTGTTCTCTTTGTTTATCTCCCACTTATGAGTGAGAACATTAGGTGTTTGGTTTTCTATTCTTGTGTTAGTTTGCTGAGAACGATGGTTTCAAGCTTCATCCATGTCCCTGCAAGACATGAACTCATCCTTTTTTATGACTGCATAACATTCCATGGAGTATATATACCACATTTTCTTTATCCAGTTTATCATTGATGGGCATTTGTGTTGGTTCCAAGTCTTTGCTATTGTGAACAGTGCTGCCATAAACATACGTGTTCATGTGTCTTTATAGTAGAATGATTTATAATCCTTTAGGTATATACCCAGTAATGGGATTGCTGGGTCAAATGATATTTCTAGTTCTAGATCCTTCAGGAATCACCACACTGTGTTCCACAGTGGTTGAACTAATTTACACTCCCACCAACAGTGTAAAAGCATTCCTATTTCTCCACATCCTCTCCAGCATCTGTTGTTTCCACGATATTGATTCTTTCCTTAAGTTGACAAGCAACTTTGGCAAAGTCTCAGGATACAAAATCAATGTGGAAAAATCACAAGCATTCTTATACACCAATAATAGACAGAGAGCCAAATCATGAGTGAATCCCTATTCACAATTGCTATAAAAAGAATAAATTACCTAGGAATACAACTTACAAGGGATGTGAAGAACCTATTCAAAGAGGACTACAAACCACTGCTCAAGGAAATAAAGGAAGACACAAACAAATGGAAAAACATTCCATGCTCATGGATAGGATATAAATATTTTTAATATTTCATTATAAATTCTTTGATTTATGAGTAACAGGAGTGTATGTATAATTTCAAAATTCATATTTTACAACATATTTATTGTCATTGAGCATTTGTTAATTGATATTTATGCCAATAATATATTCTGTTGGATACCTTGCCTTTTTATATTGCTGAAATGTCTCTTATTTTAATGGTTACTCTTGAAGTTTTACCATGCATTCTTAACAAATTATAAACTTGACTTTCTGCCTCAATCATGCAAAGTTCTTATAATACCTATAATACAAATCATCCACTTCAAAACAAACTTTAAAATAAATCACAAAATTATCATTCTTTTATTTAAAAAAAATTGATTAATCTACATGTAATCTACTAGCAACCTCTTTTTTTATTTTTCACTTTTATTTTATTTATTTATTTATTTATTATTATTATTATTATACTTAAAGTTCTAGGGTACATGTGCATAACGTGCAGGTTTGTTGCATATGTATACTTGTGCCATGTTGGTGTGCTGCACCCATCAACTCATCAGCACCCATCAACTAGTCATTTACATCAGGTATAACTCCCAATGCAATCCCTCCCCCCTCCCCCCTCCCCATGATAGGCACCGGTGTGTGATGTCCCCCTTCCCGAGTCCAAGTGATCTCATTGTTCAGTTCCCACCTATGAGTGAGAACATGCGGTGTTTGGTTTTCTGTTCTTGTGATAGTTTGCTAAGAATGATGGTTTCCAGCTACATCCATGTCCCTACAAAGGACACAAACTCATCCTTTTTTAATGAAGAACTTTTACTGTCATTTCCCTTCCTCAAATTACATTCTTTAAAACCTGCTTTAGTGAAAGGTTTACTGGTGGTAAGCTGTTTTAGGTCTTATCTATATGAAAGTATATTTATCATTATTGAAAGAAACTTTCAGAGTACTCAATTCTAGATTAAAAGCTATTTTTCTCCCAGCATTTGATGATATTATTTTATTTTATTTTTCCTTTGGCTTCCATTGTTGCTGCTGAGATCTCTGCCATAAATCAAATGGTAAAAAAAGGAGGTTAAAAAAAAAAAAAAAAAAAAAAAAAAAAAGAGGAATGTTCAGGAGTAACTGCTGCAAAGCCTATATAAAACCTTTACATTACCCATATAAAAGGCACCCCAGAGATTTGATTTTATTCATTTTTGTTTGTTTGTTTGTTTGTTTCTGCTTATTAAAAAGACAATACTATTAAGTTCTGAAGGGGAAAACAATTCAGATTTTACCCTTTTTAGTAATACTATGTGGTATCCATTTGTTATAATTTCATATTTAAGAGTTATTCATCTTTATTAAGTGCTCTGGCAGAGGAAAAATGCAAACAAATAAATGAAAAAGCTGGCAATGTACATTTCCTGCTTAATCTTCCAATTAATTTCTAAATTAGGATGCTAACTACCTAAAAACCATCAAGCACCAGCTAGACTTTAAATTTCCTTTATTACTTTCCTGTATCTACCCTCCGATATATTCAGAGTATCACTGGATATAAACCCCAAACTGCACTATATTTCGAACAGATTTCTTTCTGAAGACCAATAGCTATGAAGTATGCAGAGCATTAAGCCACCCTAGCAGGCAGGAATACAATAAAAGCAGGTAGTTTTTATTCATCTTCTGTGTTGAGTATGTTTGTGAAAAATCAAATTATTTTCCCTCTAGGGTATCTTCATCGGGATAGTTAATCTAATTTCTTGCTGCTTTTTGCTTTTCTCCTTTCATTTTCTTTTCTGACTGCTATGTTTAGAGGATTTCAAAAAATGTTTTATGCTGCTGAATATAGGTAGATTTACTGAGGAAGTTACACTGACTAAATTCTCATCTTATTCCTGTTCTTCTCCACATCAAAGGGTTAGGCAAAGGAGAGCTTTTGCTGAAAATCCGCTTTAGTTTCTCCAAATGTTAAATTATTTACCACTTTTGTTTTGTAGAAAATATTTTGATAGAAATGAAAGCCCCAGCAATAATGTGTGATTACTTTCTAAAGCTTACATGTTGACTGGCAAGAGATACAATATGAGGATGATTCTACGAAAGTCACCTTTTGAAGAAAAAATACATGCTGTATTAAGAATCTCATTAAACATGATTTGTTCTGACATAGATCCAAGAATACTGTAGGTCATATCTCGACCTTTTACAATTTACTGGACACAGTCAAAACATCGGAGAATATAGCTAGTTTCTTCCTTCGATATCAACCTTAGAAATAATTACCTTATGTTACACTTTCTAATCCTATATGGTATAAGACATCAACAAATTTAAATGTGGCATTAATTTTTCATCTATACTCAGACTCTGTCTCTACAAAATCATTTATTTTCTCCTGAATGTGAATTATTAGCTATTTTTGCTCTACTTTGAATAAATTCCTGATCGCAAGGCTCAAAACAGGGTTTTTGAATCACTAATTATCAGGGAAATAAAAATCAAATCCCCAGTAAAATGTCACCTCACTCCAATTAGAATAGCCATTATAAAAAAGAAGAAAAAATCACCAAACACTGGCATAGATTCAGAAAAAAATGGGAACCTTTGTTGTTGGTAATGTAAATTAGTACAACCATTTTTTGTTGTTGTTGTTTTGTTTTTGTTTTTTTTGAGACAGAGTCTCACTGTGTCGCCCAGGCTGGAGTGGGCTGACTGCAATCTCTACTGCCTAGGTTCAAGCGATTCTCGTGCTTCAGTCTCCCAAGCAGCTGGGATTATAGGGGTTTGCCACCACACCTGAGCCTCCATAATTGCTGGGATTACAGGCATGAGTCATCATGCCCAGCCAGATAAGAAATTATTAATAAGCTCTGGTGTTCTATTGCCCAGTAGGTATACTATAGTTAACAATATTGCATATTTCAACATAGCCATAAGAGAAGATTTTGAATGTTCTCACCATAAAGAAATAATAAATAGTAAAGGCGGTAAATATGCTAAATACACAGAGTGGTTACATGTATCAAAGCATCACACTATACCCTATAAATATGTTCAATTATGTGTCAATTAACAATAAGATAAAACAAATAAAATAGAGTTTTGTCCAGGTGCAGGGGCTCCTGTAATCCCAGCATTTTGGAAAGTCAAGGCAGGCAGATTGCTTGAGACCAGAAGTTTGAGACCAACCGAGGCAACATTGCAAGACCCGTCTTTATTTAAAAGCAAACAATGAAACAAAAACAGAGTTTTCAAGACTCAGTTTTTGCTTGTTTTCTGTTTTCTCTTTTGTTCTTATGGATATAGCATCATTGACTTGGTAGGCGACAATGAAAAGAAGAGCAAAAAAGACATGACGAAGCCAGGTTTCTAAGTGTAGGCCTACTATCAAGTATAGGAAGTTACCTGGTTAATAATTTTCTAGATGCCAATGTCTTCTTTTGTAAACAAATTGTTGAGCTACTGTGTTTCTAAGAATTCCTAAATGTGCACAACTATCATTAACTGATATCTAAAAGTATAAATGTAAAGCAATAATAGTTTATACTGAAATTAACATAAGAAAAGATGGATAACAATTACTGCTAAAAATGTACGTAGAAAATAATATGTTAGAGAGAGCCTAAGGAAGAAAACATAGCTTTTGGAAGCATGATTGGATAAGGCTTAACAGCATAAACTATGGTCTCAAACACATTTGAATTTGTATCTGGTAAATGATAGTAACATTAGGGCAATAAAATTAAAGTAAGATATCAAAATTAATGTAATTTTTTTGTTGTTGTTGTTCTCTAAGTGAGATAGAAAACCACTGGAGAATCTTGAGCATAGAAATCATATGATTTGACCTATATTTTTAGAAGACCATTCTGGCTGAAGTGTCAAGAATAGACTTGGAGAGGGGGGCAAAAGCAGAAATAGACCATTTGGAAGATCAAATTATTTGGGAGATCACCCAATTGGGGTGTGAATAAGAAAAATCTAGAATAATGATAGGATTTTAGCCTGAGCAATTGGGTAGTTGGTGATACAGTGTTAGTGATACACAGAAGAATGAAGAAGAAATAATTTTGGAGAGAAACAGCATAAGTTCTGTTTATATATATTAATTTGACATGCAGATTATACATTCAACTAGAGATGTCGACGAAGTAGTTGGATATATGAGTCTGAAGGTAAAGAGAGAAGTCTGTGCTAGAGATATAAATTTAGGAGTCAACAGTATGCAGAATATATTTACATCCATGAGACTGCTTAGGGTCACAAAGGGACTTGGTAGTGACAAAATAGAAAGGGTCCTAAGACTAAGGGTCCTAAGACTATATCTCAAGAACAGCTGATGGTATCAGTGCCCTGCCCATATCCCCTTGACATTCATAATTTTTGTGTATACCAGCCCACTTTCCAATGGTCAGCAACTATGCATCTTTACTTTGTCTCCTTTTAAAGATTACCTCTGGACACTAAAGTCTAATCTGTCCTAACACACAGAAAACTAAAAATTCACTCAGGAGCACCTTCCAATCCATGAAAAGAGTTGTGAAATACCTTTTTTCATTCACCCCTTATGTGGGACAACAACATGGTGTATGTTCTACACTAACTCTCATAATGACTATTGGGAAAAGCTTCCTCTAAGATACAATAAAAGCTTGTTTGATAACTCACCCTACATTAGTTGTTTTCTTTCCATGCTTTATTTCTCTGTGTGCTTATTGGCATTTAAACAGGATCTGCTCCAGGAAGAAAAACAAAAAACAAATAATCCTGAAATATTGCAATATTTAGATGTTGTATAGATAACAAGAGCCATCAATGTGGCTGAAAAAAAAAGTGGTTGTGAGATAGGAGAAGAACACTTTATCATCTGTATTAGATGCTACTGATAGGTCAAGTAAGATAGACTGAAAGTGGCTATTGTATTTAACATTATAGAAGTCATTGATAGTCCTGAAAAGAGAGCAAAATTTTGATTCAAATGAGTCTAAGAAAATAAGGAGTGCATTTGTAGAGAGCAATATATCAACTATTTGTTCAAGGAGTGTTGCATGAACAAGGTAGATTAAAAAACAAAACAAAACAAACAAACAAACAAAAAAACCAGTTAGTAGCTACAGAAATACATGAGTAAAAAGGCTTTATTTCATTTTATTTTTCAGTAGATCCCCCTTATCTGTGGTTTTGCTTTCCATGGCTTCTGTTACCTATATTCAACTATGGTCCAAAAACACTAACTGGAAAAATTCAGAAAGAAAAAAATTATAATTTTTAAATTGCATACTTTTCTAAGTAGCATGATGAAGGCTTGTGCCATCCTGCTCCATCCTGCCCAGAATGTGAATTACCACTGTGTCCAGTTACTCCATGCTGTCTATGGTACCCATCCATTAGTCATTTAGTAGTCATCTCCATTATCAGATTGATTGTCTGGTATTTCAGTACTTGTGTTCAAGTAACTCTTATTTTACTTTATAATGGCCTTGAAGTGCAAGAGCAGTGATATTCACATAGTTAAAATTGCTCTATTTTATTATTAGTTATTAACATTAATCTCTTACTGTGCCTAATTTATAAAATTAAACTTTATCATAGGTATGTATTATGTATCGAAAAACATATACTATACATAAGAATCAATATTGTTGATGGTTTCAGGCATTTACTGGGAATTGTGGAATGTATCCCTACATAAAATGGGGAGAGACTACTGTATTTTTTAAGATTATAGGATTAACAGGATATTTGCATGCTAATGAGAATAATCTAGTAGAGAAAAATTTTGATAATTAAGAAAAGTGGGAATATTGATAGAGTGATATGCTTGAGTAGTTTACATTACATGGGCTAGAGTGCACAAGTGGAGTAGCTGGTCTTCGAAAGGAGAACAGAATAGTTGAACATAGTAATGTAAGGAAAGGTAGAGTATATTAGAATACATGCAGGTAGATGTGGTGAGACATGAAGGAATGTCTGAAAATTACCTCAAGAATGCAATATGGGATACCTGGGCAACGATGAAGCTGGTTCTGGTGATCAACTTCATCTCCCAGCAGGATGGGCTGCATTTGAAATCAGTTCATAGGTGACTGAAGTTTTCTTTCCCATTCTGTAACTCAAACAGAAAGGGCTATACCTTTGCAAAGACGTAGATAGCAGGCAGTTCCCTTTCCAAGATACCTCTTTCAAACTGTTGTCACCTAAGCCTAGACATCTGGACACTCCAGTAGTCTGAATATACTTTCATTAGATAAGGTGTCTTGCATGTTTGGTGCCACTTAACAAATTACCACTGACTTAGTAGGTTAAAAGTACAGCATATATATTATCTCATACTTTTTTTTGTAGGTTGAAAGTCTGGGTGGGCTCAGATAGATTATTTCCTTAGGATTTTACAAGGTGAACATAAAGATGTCAGTAGAACTAGGTTCTTATTTGGAGGCTCTAGGAGAGAATTCACTTCTAAGCTCATTGAGGTTAACATAATTCACTTTCTTTCAGCTGAGGTCCTTGTTTCCTTGCTGGCCATCACCTGGAAGCTATATTTAGCTCTCAGATCCTTTCTGTGTAACCTTCTCCATCCTTAGTGCTAGCAATGGAATATCTCCCTTGAGTCAAATCTTTCTCAGGTTTCACCAATCTTTCTGACATGCTCGTCCCCTACTCTTTTGAAATTGGCCAGAAAGTCCTCTGCTTTTAAAGGAGGCATCTGATTAGGTTAAGCCCACTCAGACCTTTCTTGAGGTTAAATTATTAGTAAATTTAATTACATCTTCAAAAGCCTTTTTTCCACATCATATAAGAGAATCACAAGACTGACATCAGGGGACCTAGGTAATTCTGGCTACTACAATATGGATTCTGGTTTCCATGATATAGTTCTCTCCCACATGCAAAATACATTTGCTCCATAGTAAGTGTCTCAACCTTTTTTTCCCAATATGAGCTCCAGTTCAAAATTTCATCATCTGCATCTAAATGTCAGTATCTCATTAGCTCAAGTTGAAAATTTTCATCTAGATTATCTTAACTCAAAGTTCAAAATCTCATTATGTAATTCAGGTGCTCAGGTGGAAATAAGGCTCCTGGACATGAAAATCATCTCCATATGAGGACCAACAAAAGAAATGAGACAAGTTGTTTTTCCTCACTACTCCCAACGTACAATGGTGGGACAAGCGTAGGAAAAGAGCTTTAGACATTGATTCAAAAAGGGGGGAATAAAAAGGTAAAAAGGAGTCTTGTATCTAAGCAGGTGGAAATCCAACCAGGCTGTAGCGGGAAGTCAGGGACCCTGAACCTCGGAGGGACCAGCTGGAGTCATGGCAGAGGAACATAAATTGTGAAGATTTCATGGACATTTATTTATCAGTTCCCAAAATTAATACTTTTATAATTTCTTACGCCTGTCTTTACTGCAATCTCTGAACATAAATTGTGAAGATTTCATGGACATTTATCAGTTCCCAAATAATACTCTTATAATTTCTTTTGCCTGTCTTTACTGTAATCTCTTAATCCTGTTATCTTCGTAAGCTTAGAATATATGTCACCTCAGGACCACTATTGTACAAGTTGACTGCAGAACATGTGTGTTTCAACAATATGAAACTGCAGAGCAAGAGTGGGCAGGGTCATTACACTGGAATAAAAATCTACTGCATGTCTTATAGATTACTTAAACCTCACTATGCCTCTCCATGAGATGATGAAAGGACAGTGAATGTCATATGCTTCTCTTGATACTCTTCTTGTTGACCACCATTTTGTAACTTTTATCAATAAAGCCTATTTCTTAATTTGTTTTGTATCATATTATTAAATTAATTATTAGTCCCTTTGGTGGCAACTGTGAAGAGTTGCATATCAGCTTGGTAGATGTGGTGGAAGGGTCTGGATATTCTCACCTGATTTATTCCAATTTCTTACTGAAATTAGAGGTAAGAGAATTAACTGAATGGCAATGTAGTGAGATTTTGAAGATTTGAGGTGAAAAGAAAGTTTGAAATAGTCTATAGTAAGCAGAAGAGAGTATGGGCCTGGAAAATATAATCATATTGCTGGGCAGTGTGAAAAGCACACTGATATTGTTTGGCTCTGTGTCCCCACCCAAATCTCATCTTGAGTTTTAATCTCCATGTGTTAGAGGAGGGGCTTGGTGGGAGTTAATTGAATGGGGCGGGGTGGAATTCTCCCTTGCTGTTCTCGTGATAGTGAGTGCATTCTCATGAGATCTGATGGTTTAAAACTGTTTAGTGCTTCCCCCTTCTTTCACTCTCTTCCTCTCTCTTCTCTGTCTCTCTCTCTCCCTCTCTCTCTCACGACCAAATGAAGAAGGTTCTTGCTTCCTCATCAAATTCTGCCATGACTGTAAGTTTTCTGAGGCCCCCTAGCCATGCTTTCTGTTAAGACTATGGAACTGTGAGTCAGTCAATCCACTTTTCTTCATGAATTATCCAGTCTCAGGTAATTATTTATATCAGTGTGAAAACGAACTAATACAGAGAATTGGTACCAGGAGAGTGAGGCACTGCTCTAAAGATACCTGAAAATGTGGAAGCAACTTTGGAACTGGGTAATGAACAGAGGTTGGAAGAGTTTGGAGGGCTCAAAAGAATACAGGAAGATGTGGGAAAGTTTGGAACTTCCTAGAGACTTATTGAACGGTTTTGACCAAAATGATGACAGTTATATGGACAATAAAGTCCAGACTGCGGTGGTCTCAGATGGAGATGAGGAACTTATTGGGAACTGGAGCAAAGATCTCACTTGTTATGCTTTAACAATGACACTGGCATAATTTTGCCCCTGCTATCGAGATCTCTGAAACTTTAAACTTGAAAGAGGTAATTTAGGATATCTGCTGGAAGAAATTTCTAAACAGCAAAGCATTCAAGAAATAGCCCAGCTGCTCCTAATAGTGTACAGTCACAGGTGTTCACAAAGAGATGGTCTGAAATTAGTACTTATGTTCAAAAGGGAAGCAGAGCATAAAAGTTTGGGGAATTTACAGCCTAACCTTGTAGTAGAAAAGAAAAACCCATTTCCTGGGGGAGAAATTCAAGCTGGCTGCAAAACTTTGTATGACTAAAGAGAAGCAGAATGTTAATAGCCAAGACAGTGGGGAAAAAATGTCTCCAGGGCATATCAGAAACCTTCACAGTAGCCCATTCCATTACAGGCCCAGAGGCCTAGGAGGAAAAGAATGTTTCATGGGCCAGGGTCAGGGCCCAATTGCTCTGTGCAGCCTCAGGATATGTCACCCTGCATTCCAGCCACTCTAACTCCATCTGTGGCTAAAAGGGGCAATTTTACAGCTCATACCATTGCTTCAGAGGGTGAAAGCCTCACACCTTAGTAGCTTCCATGTGGTGTTGGGCCTGCATGTGCACAGAAGGCAAGAGGTAAGGTTTGGTAGTCTCCACTTAGATTTCAGAGGACATATGGAAATGCCTGGATGTCCAGGCAGAAGTTGGCTACAGGGAAAAGCCCTCATGAAGAACCTGTCTTAGCACAGTGTAAAGGTGAAAAGTGGGGTTGGAGTCCCACACATAGTCGTCACTGGGGCACTGCCTAGTTGAGCTGTGAGAAGATGGCCACTGTCTTCGAGACCTCAAAATGGTAGGTCCCCTGACAGCTTGTACTGTGCACCTCAAAAAGCTGCAGGTACTCAATGCCATCCCATGAAAGCAGCCATGGGGCTGTACCATGCAGAACCACAGGGGTGGAGCTTCCCAAGGGCTTGGGTGCCCACCCCTTATATCAGTGTGCTCTGGATGTGAAACATGGAGTCAAAGAAGACAATTTTGGAGCTTTAATATTTGATGGCTGCCCTGCTGAGTTTTACATTTGCGTGGTGACTGTAGACCCTGGTTTTGGCCAATTTCTCTCTTTGGAAATGGGAGCAATTACCCATTGCCTGTACCCCTATTGTATCTTGGAAATAACCAACTTGTTTGTGATTTTACAGGCTCATAGGCAGAAGGGACTTGCCTTATCTCAGATGAGATTTTGGACTTGGACTTTTGAGTTAATGCTGGAATGCGTTAAGACTTTGAGGGACTATTGGGAAGGCATAATTGGTTTTGAAATGTGAAAAGGACATGAGATTTGGGAGAGTCTAGGAGTGGTATGATATGGTTTGGCTCTGTGTCCCCACCCAAATCTGATCTCAAATTGTAATCCCCAGGTGTCAGAGGTGGGGTCTGGGGGGAGGTAATGGAATCTATGGGGGCAGACTTCCCCCTTGCTGTTTTTGTGATAGTGAGTGATTTCTAATGGAATCTGATGGTTTAAAACTGTGTTGTGATTCCCCCTTTGCTCTCTCTCTCTCTCTCTTCTGCCACCACGTAAGATGTGCTTGCTTCCCCTTCACTGTCTGCCATGACGGCAAGTTTCCTGAGGCCCCCTAGCAATGCTTCCTGATAAGCCTGTAAAGCTGTACATCCATTAAACCTCTTTTCTTCATAAATTACCCAGTCTCAGGTAGTCATTTATAGCAGTGTAAAAACAAAGTAATACACACACTCATTGTCAGTGATCATGTATTTAAAGTGAATCCGGTCAGTTCAACGTGTCTCACCTCACACTATACCAGGCAAGGAGAAAAGATGGTATTCATGCCATTAATCCCCTAATAGATACAAATATAAAACCATTCAATGGCTTCCCATGGTTTTTATAATGATGGCAAAATTCTGTAATGTAATCCACAAAAGCTCTCATGTTCTAGTCCTTTCCTACGACTCTAGCCTCATGTCATATCACACTCATTTTTGCTTTCTTATGTTACCATCACATGAAGATTATTTCTTGTCTTTAAACCTGTTGTACTGCATCCCTCCTCAGAAATATCTACTTTTTATCCCTGGAATGTGAATACCTCTATTTTTTGCCTAATAGATGCATAGCCATCTTTCAAAGTGTAGCTAAAATAGAACTTGCTCCCCAAAGCATTTGTTGGCCCTCCCCAGGATAAATACAAGTTTCCTGTGCTTTATTTTTACGTATATTGTCTTAAAATGCAAGCTGCATGTAGTCAGGGATACTGACTCATGCCTATACAAAGTATTTTCCAAATGTTTTTTGAATGAATCCTTTTTCTCAGTTCTACCTTATCTATAATCTGTTACTAGTAAGAATATCTAATTCTTGTGACAAGTTTTTAAATCCTAACCACAGAGTTTTTAAATAGAAAAAAAATTAAAAAGGAGAGTTTGTATTTAGAACAGAACTGTCTACAATCTGGAGTGAGAGGGATGTGGGTTGTGAGTAAAGGAAAATATATTCTATATTTAGGGGGCTAAAATATAAAATTAGCTAAAATAACAAAGTTATTTTTAATCAAATTAGAAACATAAGAAGGTTTATTTTGGGTTTTGAAAGGCATCATGAATTATAAAATGTTATCTGTAAAATCAGAAAATGTCATATCCGATGATGTTAAATCTAGGAAGAAATACAAATATCAATCACTGTGGCATATATTCATACTCTTTCAGCTTTATAGAAAATAGAAGTTGAATTTGATTATCTCAGAATTTGCATGATTTACTGACCTTATATGACCTGTGTGAAACAAAGTTTAAAAAAATATATACCCTACTATCATATTAGGTTAACTAGATTTTTAAAGTTCTGTCTCTTGGTTTCTACCAAATTTCATTCACATTCATTACTCCATTTGTTTAATATTATATTTAGACGAATATATGCTACTAAGACAGAATTTTAAGTTTCTAAGATACATACATAACCTCTGAATGAGCATACATTTCTTTGTGCAATAGTAACTGATAAAGTAAGAAGGAGCGTAGGATATGTAAGACTTCACAGTCTGTCTTAAAGATCAAAGTACCTAAAACACAATCCTTATTTGTATTTTTAACAGTAAAATTCCTTCAAATGGGTACAAAATTAATTATCCATCATTTCACTATTAGTTGAAGAGTCGAGAGGTTGGAAATGGAATATCTGCTCATAGAAATGAATTTGAAAGAAAGGATGATGTTTATTGGGATAATAAGGACCGGAGAGCTCATGGGTGAATTCTGTCACTATTTTCTCTATCTGTCACTTCCATTAAAATGTGAGCTGCATAAGTATCTTCCTACATATGGCGATTCCTGGTTTATAGTAAGTTCCAAATATTTCTGGTACTGGCCTTTCTTGTTTCCATAAAATCAGAAGCATATATTCTTATACTTTCTCACCACTTTTGTCCCTTCTTGATCAAAATTCTGATACCATTCCTTTCCTTGGCTAACAGAAAATTGTCTTTTATATAATATCTGGGGATCGTTATTGGGCTTTTTAACATTGCAATTATACAAACAGATTATGCTCTTGCTTTGATAAGTCTAAAATGTGTTTTATAGTAATTGTCTCAATAATCTCACATAATTCTGAATAAATGCTTCATTTGCATTAGTTTTCACAATTTTTGAAGTACTTTTACATAATATCTAAGCCTCACAAGAGCCCTTTGAAATAGAAAGAGAGCGTATTTTATCTGCATCTTCCATTTACAGGTGAGTTAACTAAAATTCAGAAAAATTAAGCAATTTAACCCAGCAGCTCCTCATTTCCTTTGCTTGCCTCAGTAAGTAGAAAAGGTGAAACTTAATCTCATATTTTATTCTCCTAGCTCAGTGTCCTGTCTACTTTCCTCCTCTGTACTCCTCTACAATAAGTGATATTTTCCCAGAACACATACATATACATATACACACACACACACACGTACATACACACATATATACACATATACATATACACATATATGTATATATAGAGAGAGATAGATAGATATAAAATTCTTTTGAGACAGAGCCTTACATTGTTATTCAGGCTGGAGTGCAGTGGTACAGTCATAGCTCACTGCAGCCTCTACCTCCTGGGGTCAACTGACCCTCTTGTCTCAGCCTCCTGATTACTTAGAACTATAGGCATGCACCACCATGTCTAACTTATTTTATTTTATTTTTATTTATTTATTTATTTATTTATTTATTTTGAGATGTAGTCTCACACTGTTGCCTGGGCTGGAGTGCAGTGGCATGATCTTGGCTCACTGCAACCTCCGCCTCCCAGGTTCAAGCGATTCTCCTGCCTCAGCCTCCCAAGTAGCTAGGATTACAGGCACCCACCACCAGGCCTGGCCAATTTTTTTTTTGTATTTTTAGTAGAGAGGGGGTTTCACTATGTTGGCCAGGCTGGTCTCGAACTCCTGACCTCGTGATCCGCCCACCTCAGCTTCCCAAAGAATTGGGATTACAGGCGTGAGCGACTGCATCCGGACATTTTATCTTCTTGTAGAGACAACATCTCGCTATATTTTTCAAACTGGTCTGGAACTCCTGGCACAAGCAATCCTCCCACCTTGGTCTCCCACAGCACTGAGATTGCAAGCATGAGCCACCATGCCTGGCTGTCAGAATAATTTTTAAATGAAAAGAAAACAATTGAAAATGAGATTATATTGCAACTTCAAAATTTTAACAAATCCAAACACTTTTTACATTGCCTCTAACTTTGGTTTCATACCAATGTCCTCTTCATTTAACTTCTACTTGCTGGATATTTACTAAACTATACTTCAGGCATTATTTTTAAACACGGATGATGTAGTTGTAAATGAGATCATTATGACCTTTACCTTCATGAAATTTACAGTCTAGTAAAAACTTAAGGAGTTCTATAGGCATTTAAAATAAACTGAGGTAAGAGTGCAATGAGAGAGAAAGAATAGATGTTATATGAGTGCATATAACCTACATATGGTGGCTCAATAATAGCTTATCAGATAAAGTGCTTTAAAACTGAGACCAAATTCTACATAGGACAGCATTTTTGAAAGCATGTGAAGTCATTCCACATACTCTAGAAGCATATGCATGGTCCTCAGATTGTACTTACCAATACCTTATAGTGCTTGTCATTGTAATCCATAGCATGATATTGGTGATGATATTTTGGGTGTGCAGAGAAGCCTGGCAGTCAATTAATTTCTATTAATGCTGCAATGAGCTGTTCGCTGGAGTCAATTCCTTGCTTTTGTTAGCTCAGCTGAAAAATATTTCTCTGACTTAGGTTCCTAGAAATTATTAACTTGAAAAATAGCCCCAGTTGCTAGGTGTTTCATCTTCATTATTTACCTAAAGAATAGTATAGTATAAAAGTGACAGTTATATGGCTGTGACTATCACATCATTTCAAGAAAAAAGTATACCTTAGAATTATAGAAAAAGAGTAACGACATAAAGATAACAAATATATATGTGTATATTATGTATGCACATATATAGTGCCTAATTTATGCCATTTACTTTACATATATTACCTAATGAAATTTAACTCTATAATTCTAGGAGTCAGACAGTATTATCCCCATTTTATAGAGAAGAAGAAACTGATAATAAAAGACATTAATCATTGGTCGAATGTGATTGGTGATAAGGAATAGAATCAGAATTAAAACCTGGATTTGTCAAAATTCACATTTTTCCACCACAGCACAGAGAGCTGGATGTATATATTAGAAATCAACATGTCAACAACTATATTTTATTGATCTGGAAACTGAGGTACAAATTAAGTAATTTACCCAAAGGCACAAGTCATGGGGTATTAAATAAATGAGAACATGGGTCTATCGACTTCATGTCATGGGTCTTTCCACTAAAGGTACAGGTTTTTTTTGTTTTTGTTTTGTTTGTTTTGTTTTGTTTCCACAATAGATCACCTTTCAGATCTGAAGTAAAACTCAGAATAAAGCAATATTACCATGAGTCTCTAAACACATGCATCTAGACCTTATGATTTTCCTGTGTTGAATAATATTTGCCTTTTATATTCCTATTAAAAGTACATTGGGGCTTAAATAAGCATTCATGTTTGAAGTTCCAATGGGGGCTAATATTTGATTCCTGTTGAAATAAGTGCCCTGGAAAATATGTAGAAGATAATCTCTGTTCACCAGGACCATTAAATATAGAAACTTTGGCACTTTTTTCTTCCATTCTCTGTAGAACAAGAACAGGTCATTACTTTACTGACATGCATAAAATACATCACATTTTCTGTTCTACTGATGTTGTAAATTCAATGCCAATTCTCCAGCCACATTGGTTATGAGCATAAAGCATATCACGTAACCTCAAATTTCTAACGGTGAAAAGTTTAAACATGAATGGATATTGCTGAGTAATGCTGCTTTCTTTGATATTATAGCTGAGTATCTGTCTCCCTCCCCCGCAGATGATTTCTTCAGCATGTTAGAGCAGCGAGGAATGGTTTTAGTCTCATACTAAGGTAAAGTGAAGACATCGGTCACATAATATACATATTCCATTTTTTCAAATTTCTGAATCTTGAGTAACTTTTCTCTTGTAACTAGTTTATAATTTCTAAAAGAAGTTATTGTCCAAAGCTGTAAGAACTTAAGAATTCTCTGATAAGCATGTGAATGAATGGAGGGAGACTGAAAAAACAAATTAAAACGGTGAGGTATGATAGGGGAGCAGCTGCATAAGAAAATCAAAATAGGAACAATAAAGTTTATTACAGTTATAATACAGGTTATTCTGACTTTGAGGAAGCATCATACGGTGTACTTCTCAGTCTATTTCCAAAACATTCTATTATTATTTTGTCTGTTTTATAGGTCTCTGCAATCTCTAGCACTAGGGGGTTTCTGGATTTGGATCACATAACAGTGAACAAATTGATGTAAAAATAACTTTAAAAATGTTAAAGCAGAAGACCACAGTGATCTTAGAATACTGAGACAAATGCTCTCATTACTATAAATGTTTGGATGATAAATTATTGTAATAAATGCAACTTTAGGTGGTTTGAAGGGGTAGTCTGAATGAAAATGAAGTGTCAAGAACACACCCACCTTGATACAGGCGGCAAGGAGGTCCTATAATTGTAGCCTGCCAATGAAACCTATAACATCCAACAGAACACTGTGCTAGAGGACCAAGGACAAAAATCCTAAATTCCTTAGTAATCTGCTTCAGTTACATAGTTTGTGCTTTTTCCCTGGCTCCTCACTATCCCAGTGTGTGCTCAAAGGTCCAGCCAAAATTCTTTATTATCCAGGCAGCCAGGAAGAATTGTCTTGGTCTCACATCGTCTCTGCCAGACACAGACAAAAAGGGGTCAGGGCCTCCCTCAATCTGTGGCTTTGACCTCCACCATACAAGGCAGCTGGTGCCTCCTGGGCCCTACGGAGCTCTCATGCATGACACTTGGAAATGCTGAACAGGAGAATGAAGTGTAGTAATAAAAGCTAAAACTGAGGGACTATATTGGCTTAAAGTGGACAAAGAAGAAACATTTAAAATCACTCTAAGCTAGTCACTTAGTATGGTTTTAGTGACGCAACAGAAATAGTAAAAGGGAGTGTGGACCTCAGCTGGTCCTATTGCCTTTTTCCTCACTATTCCCACCAGCTAGTCATTATTTGCCTGCAAGTCTGGCAATCGTTTGGCTTATGTGAGAAACAAGTGGGATACCATTGTCACACTCCCATGTTCTCAGGCTACCTTATGTCCTTTCTGAGCTAAGGCTGGAAATAACTAACTTCCATTGCAGTGTCTTTTTTTCTTCCTGAACTCTTAGCTCACTTCTTTTGAATGCCTTATCTTGTTCTGATAGGCTACAAACAGGATTTTATGTATTTATTTTGTTTCTAGATAATAACGCAATGTGACATCACTTACATACTTATTTTGCTTTTATACTCTTATTTCTAATATGTCTATATAATATATATTATATATAATATATATTAGTGGCATGTGAAAGTCTTTATTGCATAATCTAAACCCAAGTAATTATTCACATTAATAGTTTGGTGTATACTGTTGCAGATCCATCCCATGTTTATAGACACATAAACATAAATGCAAATTGGATAAATTAAAAAGAATATAAGAAAGAAGTTAGCAGGTGGACTGGGTATAACTATACTAATGTAAACAGAAAGAATGCTGATATACTTATAGAACAATATTACCCCACCAATATTGTACGTTATCATTATACAACCTCTCTATAAGTGAGAATATTTTTGCCCTTATATTAACCTTCAGTCCTTCTCTCTCTTTCAATGCCCATGATACATCTGTATTTTTAATTGTTGGGGTTTGATAACAACTACCTTCTGTTCTGTAATCATAAACAATTATATCTCTTTTTAAATTATTTTAATAGCTAACATTATACTGAACAGCGAAAAGTTGAAAGCATTCCCCCTGAGAACTCGAACAAGACTAGGATGCCCACTTTCACCATTTCTATTCAACATAGCACTGGAAGTCCTAACCAGCGCAATCAGACAAGAGAAAATAAATATAGAGCATCCAAATTGGTAAAAAGGAAGTTAAACTGTCACTGTTCACTGAAGATATGATCGTATACCTAGCAAGTTCTAAAGACTCATCCAAAAAGCTCCTAGAACTGAAAAATAAATTCAGAAGAAGCTCAGAATGCAGAATCAATGTACACAAATCAATAGCGCTGCTATATACCAAAAATGATCAAGCTAAGAATCAAATTAAGAAATGAATTGCTTTTACAACAGCTGCAAAAAAGAAAAAAAAAAAAAAAAAAAAACCCTAAAGTACTTAAGAATACACTTAACCAAGGAGGTGAAAGGTCTCTATAAGGAAAACTACAAAACATCGCTTAAAAAAGTCACTGATGACACAGGAAACACATCCGATGCTCATGGATGGGTAGAAATGATATTGTGAAAATGACCAGAATGCCAAAAGCAATCTACAAATTCAATGCAATTCCCATAAAAATACAACCATCCTTCACAGCACTGAAAAAAAAAAAAAAAAATCTTAAAATCCATACGGAACCAAAAAAGAGCCCACATAGCCAAAGCAAGACTAATCAAAAAGAGCAAATCTGGAGGCATCACATCATCTGATTTCAAATTACTACAACACTATAGTTATCAAAACAGCATGATACTGGTACAAAAATAGGCAAGTAGATGAATAGAACAGAATAGAAAACCCAGAAATAAAGTCAAATACTTACAGCCAACTGCTCTTTGACAAAGCGAACAAAATATAAAGAGGAGAAAGGACACCTCATATTCAACAAATGGGTGCTGGGATAATTGGCAAGCCACATGTAGAAGAATGAACTGGATCCTCCACTCTCACATTATACAAAAATCAACTCAAGATAGATTAAAGACTCATATATAAGACCTGAAACCATAAAAATTCTAGAAGATAACATCTGAAAAACTTCTAGACATTAGCTTAGGCAAAGATATCATGACCAAGAACAGAAAAGCAAATCCAACAAAAACAAAAATAAACAGATGTGACCCAATTAAACTAAGAGCTTCCACACAGCAAAATAATAATAATATTATAATTATATTATATAATTATAACATAATAATTATTATATAAAATTATAATATATTATTATATAATAATAATTATTATTATAATCAGCAGAGTAAAAAGACAGCCCACAGAGTGGGAGGAAATATTCACAAACTATGCATCTGAAAAATGATTAGTATCCAGAATCTACAAAGAACTCAAACAAATCTGCAAGTAAAAAACAAATAATCCCATCAAAAAGTGGGCTAAGGACATGAATAGACAATTCTCAAAAGGAGATATACAAATGGCCAACAAATACATGAAAAAAACACTCAACTTTACTAATTATTGGGGAAATGTAAATTAAAATCACAATGAGATAGCACCTTACTCCTGCAAGAATTGTCATAATTAAAAAATTCAAAAACAGTGGTGTGGATGTAGTGAAAAGGGAACACTTTCATATTGCTCGTGGGAATGTAAACTAGCACAGTCACTATAGAAAACAGTATGGACATTCTTTAAAGAACTAAAAGTAGAACTACCATCTGATCCAGCAATTCCACTACTGCAGATCTACCCAGAAAAAAAGGAGTCATTAAATGAAAAAGACACTTACACACACATGCTTACTGCAGCACAATTCACAATTGCAAAAATATGGAACCAGCCTAAATGATCATAAACCAATGAGTGGATAAAGAAAATGTGATACATATATATACAATGGAATAATACTCAGCCATTCAAAGAAATGAAATAATGGTATTCACAACAACCTGGATGGA